TWAATTTGTTTTATTTTTATATTTGTGTGCTTTCAGTTCTAATCGYAACCATTCTGGTACAGGTAAACTTTGTAAAAGGTAAGAAATATTGTTTAAGATATATATATCATCAAGGTTAGCAAATATACAGAAAATGCATTCATGCATACCTGAGGTTGTTCAAAACTTTGCATTGAACTTGGGTTTTCAACATAAAATGTAAGTTAAAAGCATTTACTCAAGATTGCATGCAGTTTTGTAATCAATTGATTTTGTGTTTTCATTAAGGYGATCAGTGCGAACCSAACAAAGTTACTGTTAACCAAGTGCAAGCTCCAAACAATGCKACAGGGGTGACGATAACTCTAWTGAAACCCTATAAGAACTCTACATGTTCTTGGCAAATTACRGCACCATCAGGATATATAGCAGTGGCTAAAATAGTAGGATTGATTTTCASTGGTGATTGTGCAAGTGAAAATTTTAAAATTTTTGATGGAACATCRACCTCTGACAAACTAATAACAAYGTACTGCAAAGAGAAAAGMAAACCAAGTTCTACTGTGGAAGTGTGGTTTAGTACTGTAAGTGGAATGTTGCAGCTGCAACAAGGGATGTCTGATGATGGCCCTAAATTGATAATGCAAGTTCTTGCTGTGACAAAACCAAGTACGTGAAATATTTTGTTTAATACCATTATTATTTATATCAAATTGCCACAATCAAATGTCTTGTCAACCAAAATATCAAATGTTGGCTATTTGACTTATAAATTAATGGTTTAAATTTGGATTATCAGCTACCTTATATATTGATTGTTATATAATGTTGGCAGTCAGAATTTCTTGAACTGAATGTATGCTGCCGTAACAGGTTGCAACGATGGCAAGCTAKSAGCGTYGTCTAAAGAARMWMAWTTTACAAGTCCAAAYTACCCCAATGGCCCCCCGCCAGGGATGACTTGTCAGTGGTTAATTRAAGCTCCACTTGGGAAATATTTGAAGCTGATGTTCAAAGATGYTAGTGTGAARMTTTGTACAGATGTYCTTCATGTTTACGATGGTGAAGTTGAAACTCCAGAAGATCTTCTGCAGAAAAGATGTATTCTTGGTAACAATAAAATGTATCTGGATGAAGATAAACCCATCTATTCATATGGGGATAGATTATTGGTAGTTTTGAAAACAGTGAAATATTTGAAGATTGGTTCACATCGAGGATTTAAAGCTATATACTCATCTGTAGATGGAGGTATGTCTGTGACTAGTTTAGATGTAACAAGGATTGATTGTCATTTGACACAAATACAAGCAAAAATCCACTCATTCCTTGCTTTTAAAGCAACAATAATGAAATGATTTCATTCTCCAAACGCCATATTTTCTGTTTTTTTTTAATGCACTCTGATTATTGTGAAATATAGAATCCTATAATACTTTGTTATTCTATACAGTAAAAAACCCGTATAAGAACAAGTGGATTAAGAACACCCAGGACTGATTTTAGGAAATAAAGTACCATTTATATAAGAACACATTCAGCCTGGACTGATTTTAGGAAATAAAGTACCATTTCTATAAGAACACATTCAGCCTGAAAAATGAAAGGTGTTCCTATATGAAAAAATGTCAAAGATTGCAACACTACATGTACTTTTCATTGCACACATAATAGTTCCGCCCCAATGATAAATAACAAAATATTAAACAAAATAAAAACATGTAATGTTACATTGATTTCATCTTTTGGTAGCCTAGTATGTTCCTTATTTTTAGAAACTTTTTTAAGAACACTTACACACTGATTTTGCAGATTATAACCCTTTATGTAAGAACCAAATCAGCCTGAACTACCAAAATAGGTGTTCTTATACACGGGTTTTTAGTGTTTTATTTGTTTATCTCTCACACAGGTACAGACTGTGGTCCTGGTAAAGCAAATATCAATAATATTCAACTCTCATCACCTACTGGTACAATCATCAGCCCAGGATTCCCTGTCTCTGTTCCATCTGATGCATTTACCTGTGTGTGGAGGATTAGATCACCCAAAGGACAAGTGGTTAAAGTGGACCTTGACTCAGTTTCACTTCGAGGAGCAATCTATAGATTTGGATGCAAAAGTACTCTGTCCTTTTATACAAACATTGGACCAGAAGTTTACGAAATTAGCGATTACTTGTGTGATAATTATCAGTTTCAAACAGTCGTGTCTGTTGGTAGACGAATGGAAATTATATACAAACAAGAACAACTAACCAGTTTACGAAAGCCAAAAGGATTTAAGCTGGAGTATTCCACTCTAGGTTCATTATGTAAGTATTATTTATTTTTCTGAAAGAGTACGTGTGATTTTATTGAATTACTGGACAATGAAAACTCTAAGTTCAGTCTTCGTAGTAAATGATTAAATGGTTGATTCAACACTAAAAATTTGAAACACTAAATTCTGACTGATAACTTCATCAGAAGAGCTCAATTTCAGAGTTGAGGTACTGTAGCATCTCCAGTATTTGATAATGGTTATTGTAAATAACACAGATAAATATCCTTCAACGTTTTTTCCGTCTTTGTTAATACATTCAATGCTATATATATAATATCAAAAAGGCAAGATTTTGCTGTAACTCCGAGTTTCGTATGTAAATAGCCTAGCACTTAGCCTTTTGTTCTATACCATGTATATATATCTAGATTATAGGAATGTTTATCATTAAATACTGTCTGATGAGTGCGTAGCACAAAACTCGGAGTTACAGCAAAATCTTGCCTTTTTGATATTATATATATAACTAGCTCTACACTTTATGTGTATTGAGCACTCTTTAATGGGATCAGCTACTTCCTCATACAATTACATTCAATGCTATGTAGAATGGAAAAAGACATACACACAAACAACAACAACAACAACAAAACAGTATAATAGGAAGGCAAAACACCAAAGCCATTGTGCTATTGCAGTAGATTGATTTTAAAAACGATTTCTTGGATAATTTTTGTTGGCACGACTGATACAAAATGATACAAAGTTATAGTCTTAAAAGGTGTTCATTTGTTCATTTGACCCTTTCCTAAATTCAGTGATGCTGCACTTGTTTAGTGAGAATGTTTCTTGTTTGAACCATGAATAACTCAAGTAACAAGGTGGCCATGTATTACTTAACCCTGTTGTGACAGAGTTCATAACTTTAATCTAAATTTTGCTTTTACTCATAGCAAAAAGTGGAAGCTGTAAAGCCAATGGCGAGGGAACAATTGATGTCCAGGGKGATGCTGGGACAATCCAAAGTCCAAACTATCCAAGATACCATCCTACTAACATGACATGTCGTTGGAAAATCCTTGTAAGTCCTGGCAATGTCATTGAATTTACTTCAACAACAATTGGGCTTGACAAGGACTGTGAAAAAGAGTTGATTCGYATCTACGATGGACCTGACACTTCAAGTCCTGAATTGAAGAAACTGTGCTACTCTCACAGTCAAACCTTCTTCTCTTCATCCAATCGTATCGTAGTTGAGTTTGTAACAAAAGGAAATACAAAATCTGACGGGTTTTACATTACCTATGCCGCAAGAAAGGCAAAACCCAAGTCTTATGCTTGCTCAAAATCACGAGACATTGATGCTGCAAGTGGGCAAATTGCAAGTCAAAGGTTCCCGCTGAACTATTCAAACAATGCTTACTGCACWGACAAAATTAAACTACCAAAGTTCAATTATCTTGTGAATTTGACTTTCACATCACTGGATATCGAGCCTGATGGKGACAAATGTGAAAAGGACTTTTTATATATAGAGTCACTTGGCTATAAACTGGCAAGACTGTGTGGAAAGAAGACAACTCCATTTTCTATCATTTCAAAAAATAATGAAATGAGAATTGATTTCAGAACTGATGCGTCGGGACGATATCCTGGATACRAGGCAACATTCACCAGTGTACAAGATTGTAAGTATCTTAGATATTTGTTTTTTCCTATTTGCATCCACACTTTTATTCTTTWGTCAATTAGCAAAGATCATAAGCCAGCATTTTGTCCATTTCATCATAGTTAATAGAAGGGAATGGTTTCCCCTCTATTAACTGTGCTTTCATATTGATTAATTAAGTGTTTTCTTTTACTAATTATTGATTGATATTCACTAGTTTCATTTGGGAACTGCACGGAACCAGGCAAGGACAATGTCATTCCCATGACAGCACCAAATGGCAGGATTTACAGTCCACGTTACCCAGAATACTACCCACCAAACATGAAATGCATATGGGTACTTCAACCTCCTAAAGACAAGTTCATCCGGCTCATATTTGATGACATTTGGTTGAAAAAATGTACAGAATCGTCTATCGTAATACGAGAACTAAATACGAAGAAGTTAATCGCTCGYTTRTGTGAATATCCCTCAACACCYTACGTTCTGTTTTCCTCGCCTGAGAATGGCCTAATCGTGGAGTTCACCAGTGTTAATAAGAAATCGTTTCTTTACGGTAACAAAGGCTTTAGTGCACATTACGAAACTTTTGCTCAGTCCAAGTGTAAGTACATTATAGAAATCATGTTAAAAATTGAATGGCAAAATGTTCTTTTATTCAGGCGGGGGGAGGGAAGTGGGGGCTATTGCGCCTTGCTCCAATAATCAGTTTTGGAAACAAAACAAAAAACAAACAAAACTTGCAGTGTCAAATAAATATTTTCATAGATTCACTGCATAAAATATGTTCTCGAGGACTTTCACATGAAATTCTGGAAATTGCATTTGCGAGRTTCAAAAATTCGTCGGCCCCTCCGGCTTTTGATGGYCGTTAGCCCCCTCGGCAATCAAAAATTTGCTMCGCGGTTCATGYATCTCCACCATGAAGGCGACAAAAATYTTGATGTGTTAACTTTTCATTCARTTGTCTGTTATTTATATGTACAGCACCTTTATCGCTCTCCTGTGGACAGAACACTCCTAGACAAAAGCTTAAAGGACCTGGTTCCATTGCAAGCTACAATTATCCTCTCAAATACCTAAACAATGTCAAGTGTACGTGGGTGATYTCGACTTCAAGCAGCAACAGATTCAAACTYAAGTTTGATTTYATGGACATTGAGCCCAGCCCTGGCTGTAAAGATGACTATGTTCAAGTTAGAGATGGTGAATACAGCATTAGCAAATCCTTGGGAAAGTTCTGTGGCTCAACAAAACCAGATTCATTCAAGTCGAGTGAAAGTTCAATATTYGTGGAATTCAAAACMAATGSGACTGGACAATATGGTGGTTTTAAACTATCTTACGAAGAAACTTGTAAGTAACAAGACCTGATTATATAAGATTTGGAATGCCTAACCTTTGGTAGATTCCGCTGTCAGGAGTCTTTTTCTTTATTTCTGGGCCAAATCAAAAAGTTGGTTGGGCGCTTCCAAAAAAAAACCGCAGGCGCGCAGCCAGCGTTCAGGTCCCTTTCCCACTAATATGTTATTTATTGTTCTTCCAGATAATGTGCGCACAATCGTTCTGATCTCAGTTTTCAGTGTAATTGGTGGCATTGGTTTAATTTGTTTGATTGGTTATTGTATCCTTAAGTGTTGTCTTGATGATGGATCGAGTGGCCCACAATTCGAAGCAGTTGGACTAAAGGAAAAAGACTAAAATATGCRTACAGCGGTAAATTAAAATAGGACTGCCTAAACAAAACAATGGCGTTTGTGAAAACGAGGTTAGCTAATCTTAAGGGTTGAGGTGGTTTCGGTGTTCTGGGATCACCTACATCAGAGGAATGTTTTTTGCTGTTTTGTTAGTGAAGCCYGATTTATTGGGAAAAGCTAAAAAACGTAAAAACATGCGTGCGCATCTGGATTTAGATATAAATACTTCTCCCTTTTATTTTTGGTAACACAAACACCAACGTCAGTTGTTTATAATTCTGTTTCTTAGACAGAAGTTTGCGCTTTTTGATGTGAACACTGAGAAGGCACACATCTCACATCCCGATCGTTATTTATTAATATATTTTGTGATTAGTTGTCTAGTGAGATCTTATCAATTTTAGGGGATTTATTACTGAGCATTGTAAAGTGGTCAAGTTTTTTATTTCTTTTATAAGATACAATGCCATATTTAATGAAGTGTACCCAGCGAGCAGAGGATTCTTCCATCCCCTTCTACGAAGAAAAGGAAAAATATTTTTTCCTTTTCTTCGTAGGAGGGGATGGAAAAATCCCCAGTTCGCAGGGTAAACTAAGTGATGCCATCCTTGTAGATATAAGAGAAGTGTGTGTGTGTGTGCATAGTAAATAACTGCTAACTATGGTGTGTATTGTATAATGATGTCAATTTAAGCGTGTGATCCCGGAGGGGGGCGACTTGGGGGGAGACTCCCTTATATGCTCGAAGGACCTTTTAGGGTTGAAAATAAAGCCCTCGCGTACCTTTTAGGGTCCTGAACTRACTCCGTAACTTTTAGGGTCAATTTTCGAACAGCGGGAAAAAAAATTGAAGACAAAAGCTAATTGAAATCGATAAAGATGCTTCATTTTTTACTAATGCCGATTCCAMGATTGTCACGAATTGCCCACGTCTAGTTTCAAAGAAGCCAAAGGCGCACATTAAACTTAGGCTGGTATCAAAGTGAAACTGATTAGGACGGTCCAGTCACGTGTCTATACAACATACTAAAAATAGATGAAAGGTCGAATTTTCGTTAGAAAGGATACAGGGTATCATCGACGGAAATGATAGCCGTACTCTGGTTTGCCGGATTCTTTTTGAATCACGCTCGTCGGATATTGGAAATTAGCGTTGACCATGAACATCTGAGATCACAGTACGGCTGGATTTTCCAATTTATTATTCTATTTGTTGACAGACTAGTACCAGTATCAAGCTCTCTGGAAGAGGATWGGGAGTCGCACATCCCCCATCCTCTTCGATAGAGCATGACAATCAGACCGACATAATATAAACCATTAGTTAATATTAACTATTAAAAACTGTGAAATGAACGGTTAATACTTGAAAATAAAAATTACGCGAAACTTACCTGGACTAATTTCTCTCGCGTTTCACATAAGTGGCTTTGCATACAATGACTTTAAAATGTGAACGAAAATATTTATCAACTGTTTCGTTTGCAAACAAGAATATTCACAGAGATTGCGTTTTGCGATTTTCATTCTATTTGTGGGGTTGCTTTAAGAATAATTTTCCACTTGTCTCTTTTCTAGTTGTTATTTACAATGAATTTCCAATCACTCTAAAAATACACCAATAAAATTTCTTTACGGCAGGAGCCCATTACTAGCACAGTAATGGGCTCCTGTTTGCGCACTCGCCCCCATTTTTCTCTCTTCCAAAACTTGAAACAGGAAGCCCAAATTCCCGCTGAGATTCTCAGCAGAGCCCTATAGTTTCAAGTTCAAGAAAGATGTTTTGCTTGTCTACTGAAATGTTTTCTCTAACTACTGAACAAACATCAGGAGAATAAATCGCTCACCTGGACTCTTCGAAACAAGCTCAAACCATGAAGATCATTTCTTTCCACATTTACGGTAAGGCTCTTCGAAATCAAAATGCATGTGGCCACAAAGAAGTGCCGCATAGAAAAATGTTGTTCCAGTAGCGAAAAGCTGATGTCTTTATTACTATGTTCAACTGCATGCACATTTTGTCTCGGGTATAACAGTTCATTGTTTGAAATGAAAATATAACGTTGCGTGAAATAATTACTTAAAGTTTTAACTCCATTTTAACATTCTGGCTGAACAAAGTGCACGTTGATTTTGGTATGTTGAATGATGTTGAATAGTGATTCAGTCTATTGAAGTATTATCAATATATCTGCATTAATCTCTGATATCTCTCCCTAGTTTTGATTGTCGTTTTACGACTCAATCTCATACAAGGTAAGGCTACTATAATCTTCACACAAATGTTTTAAACCAAACGTAAACAGCCTGTATGACAATTACAGACAGTCGAGAGACAGGTTTTTTCTCTGATTGTGAGCTCTGACATAAAACTTACATTGTATTCTAGACATTAAATGCTGATTATCGATGCTGATACTGCTCTAGACTAGAACGCAAACACACAATTTAAACAATTTGATTTAAAATACAATCTGGCTGTTGACATTACTGTACGAAATCAACTTGTGAACTCAGATATTGTTGTCATTGATGGCTGACAACTGTATATTTTACCTCCCTCGCAAACTGTTCCTGGTGTCAGAATTCGGAAATTTCTGGTAGAGAAAATTATTGAATTCAACAATAGGTCTAGGACTAGCTGGATAATGTTAATTATGCAGTCGAACCTCTATTGAGCAGCAATCTTTTATAGCTGTCATTCATGAATTTCCCCCCACCCCCAACCCCCTTCCCCCCCAAAAATTAAATGTATAAAATTCTTTTATATATTTACTGTAAATGTGACCTCTATTGAATAATCAATGCCAATCAGTCACCATGGTGGCCGTTTTACAAGGGTTCTACATGTATGTAACCTGTGTATTAGGCCTTTGAGGGGGCCTGGAGAGGGGGGAAGAGAGCCTGATACTCAAGTTAGGTTCAGTGTTACTGTAGATATATTCACAGGGAATAATATGCTTATTAGGTCAAAAAATTGCTATATGACCCACTCTGAGAATCTTTGAGATCATTTGCTTTGTTTTAGAAAACGTCTGAAATTGAAATTTGATTTCCAGTTCATTCAAAATCAATTATGGATGTCAGGCAACTCTATTCTGCAGGATTCCTGTGTTAAGGCAGAAAATCAGTCTCAGAGTGGAGGCACCAGTATTTCTTGGTCAGGATAAATCAATACAGGATCGAAGGCCAAGGAAAGAAAAATCCATTTCCCTAGGAGTAGCCTGAGAAGGAGRCTAATTATGCAGCATCCCTCAATAATTTTCTGATATTTTTTCTCTCCCCCTTCCCAAATCAAAAAACTGCTTTGCTGTCCCTGAGCATGGGATCCTGTTCTTTACTAAGGATGTAGTACTTTAACTTAATTTTGTACATTTTATTCAATCACAAGGTGCTGTTAATAACTGTGAGAAAAACAAAGTCGGTGTGAATGTGGTTAATCTCAAAGAGAAGAATTCTACTGCTATAGAGACTGTACCCTATGAAAACTCTACATGTACTTGGCAAATAATCGTACCCAAAGGACATATCATAGAGATTGTACCTAGTCGGATGAATTACAAATTTAGTATCAATGATTGCAAGAAAGAAAACTTTATTATTTACGATGGAAATTCAACATCAGACTACCAAGTAGCAAAGTATTGTGCCGATAACAAACCAGGGACWCTTGTGYACGTATATCTGAGTGGCTCGTATGGAATGTTGGTGCTAAAACAAGGAGACCCAGCCAGCCCCAGGAAAAAGTTTTATGTCTATGCTGAGAAAAAGAAAGGTAATCTTATTGGTTTGCATAGCAAACAGCTACAATTTTTCAATTCTAAAACATGAACATTTTGGCTTGGTCTCAACATCTTGAGAGCTTTCACAGCAATTTTCAGATTCTTGCAAGGTCTCATTGAACTTCCAGGATTTTTCCCTGAGGAATTCACAAGCTTAGCCCCCTAAGCATTAGTTTCCGCTCCACCTCCAACGTCACCTTGTTGGGGGTAGAGGGTTTGTGAACTAMCGGAAATGGATGCTTTGAAGGCTATTTACAGGCTGCAATKTCACTGAATTTTCATCATCATTCAAGTCTCAGACTCAGCTTGATCAAGCTTGCTGCATTTCAGATTTTACCATATATTTTTTATGCCAACCTATATTATATAATAATYTTAGGAACTGCTATATTTATAGTACAATATGTCTTTTTTCACCAGATAATTGTAATGATGGCAAGGTACTGAAACTAAAAGCTGCTTCTACTCTATCCAACTTTACAAGCCCAAATTATCCCCACCCTACCCMCCCAGGAGCTATTCGTCAATGGCTGATTGAAGCACCCAGTGGAAAATATGTTAAGCTGGAAATAACTGATGTTAGCTACTATTTCTGCAAAACGACTACCTTAAATGTGTACGATGGTGATAGTGAGAACCCAACAGAACTGATAAGAAATCTCTGCAACAAGAAAGACGATGACTACATATTTCAATATCCAAAACTAACTATCTTTTCAAAGGCTCAAAAGCTGTTTGTTTATTTTAAAAGCCTTGCTTACATCCAATATCCTATCAATAATAAAGGTTTTCAAGCTTTTTACAGTGCTGTAGAGGGAGGTATGTACTAACATAAAAAAAAAACATTCTGCACACATTTAGTTACTTGATTGCTTGGGCTTGGTCAATATTGTTTGTATTTTTTACATCTTAGATGTTTTTTTCTTGGACAAGAGCAAACATTGAATTATCTTTGCAATCTTTATATTATAAACTTTAAGCTTCAGCTGTTAGTAGACATAAAATCTAAGCTTGCAAGAATCAAAAAGGAAAGGAAATCTGATCTACCTCAACTTTTCAGTACTCTGAAAAGTAGCTCTTTAAACCTTGGGAAACTTTGTCAAGGCTTGTACCTATTTGGAGATGATTTTTGCAGGAACTCTTGGCTGGGAATGAACTTGCAAATTAGTGTTTCAACCTGCTTAAATAAAAGCCCAARGTATTTARAATATCTGCAAGTTTTGCATATTGAAACCAGAAAAATATGACAACTTCTGAGTCTCTACAAGTTGCCCAAAATGCAGCGGTTACCTGATCTGACATCTACTGAAAGTTTGCAATAATATTTTGTGTAATTTTTATCATCTACTATCTAATATTTTAATGTTCATTGTAGTTGCAAGCTGTGGAGTAAGGCGTGGTAATGCTGTCATTCACCTACAGGGTGACAATGGTACAATACATAGTCCAAATTACCCATCATACCATCCTAGTAACCTGACATGCCGTTGGGATGTGTCTGTAAGTGTTGGTCAATTTATAGAGATTACTATGGCAACATCAGCCTTCCGTGAAGACTGCAGTAAGCAGTGGGTACACATCTATGATGGATCTAAGACTTCCAGTCCGTTGCTGCTTAAACTGTGCTCATACAAGGACTCCAAACCATTTTTCTCATCATCTAATCAAATTGTTGTGGAGTTTGTAACWACAGGAACTGTGCAGTCCAAAGGGTTCTCTATTTCTTATACAGCCAGGTCAACAAAACCCAGACCTTATGCCTGTCTGAACTCAAAACATAGACTGATAAAAAATTCTACAAATGGCTACATTGCAAGCCCAAGATTTCCTCTAAATTATTTAAATAGTGCTCGCTGCTGGTTTGATATTGAAGTACCTTTAGGTAACTTTGTGTACTTGACATTCAAGACATTTGACCTTGGTGACAGTGATAGTGATGAATGTGTCGAAGACTTTGTCCACATAAGATCGGTTGACAAGTTTGGTGATTGGGAGAAGTCATCAGTGCTGTGTGGAAAGAAGAAAACACCATTTTCTTATATTTCTAGTACTAATAAAGTCACAGTTTACTTTGAGTCTGATAATAAAGGACAGCATCCAGGATTTGAAGCAACATTTCAGTTGATTAAATATTGTAAGTGTTTATCATACTAAGTTTGCTTGTTTCTTTGTTGTTGTTGTTGTTGTTTTTCTCTCTCTCTTTCACATATATCTTGTTTTCTTGTGTATTTGGACAGCATTTTTGTCTGCTTTCCCTTCTTTATTCCCAATTTGTATAGAAGTTGTAATGCTTGTTTGCTTTCTTCTAGTGATATTCTTCCTTGAATTCACAAATTCTTTGAAATTACTTATAAGTCCATGCTACACTTCCTTTGAATTTCAAAATCAAAACAATGAATCTTGTCCTTTTTGTATGCAGTGCCATTATCAACATCATGTGGACAGAACTCACTCAGTCGAAAGCTTRAGAGTTCTTCTGGCTCCATTACAAGCTACGAATATCCCCTCAAATATCAAAACAATGTGCAATGCACCTGGATTATCTCAACTTCCAGTAGCCTTTACAAATTTAAATTGAAGTTTGATTTCATGGACATTGAGCCCAGCCCTGGTTGTAAAGATGACTATGTTCAAGTTAGAGATGGTGAYTCCAGATTTAGYGAATCCTTAGGAAAGTTCTGTGGCTCMACAAAACCAGATTCATTCAARTCGAGTGAAAGTTCAATATTYGTGGAATTCATAACCAATGGGAAAGGACAATATGGTGGTTTTAAACTATCTTACGAAGAAACTTGTAAGTATCAGGTGCAGTAGTCTCCTTCACAGTTACCTGCGCCATCTACGACCATTGAGTGTGCAATGATAGAAACCTTTTTTCACACCTACAGACAATTATTCACAGGTTTCTATCATTGCACGCTCAATGTTCGCCTCGCTTTGATGCAAAGGCACGGCTACCTTTCAACATGGCACAGGTAACCAACCGTGAAGGAGACTATTAACCTCAATGATTGRTACTGTACTAAATTCTGTTATATTTCTTTGAGTTCTACTCCAGCTCAAAATTTGACTCTGCCTTCCGTCACCTCTTGGCCACAATTATTACATTAATCCACCATTCCATCCTCACCCAACCYCAAAGCAATTCAATCATAGCACCACACAACAGACAATATCAGGTGAAGTCACTTATAAAGGAAGAAGGCTGATTTTAACCACCATTTTKTCTGACTTACACTCTAACAATTTTGCAATTTGAATTTTGCAAAAGGCAATATTATTTTTGTTGTATTTGCACATACGAGTAAAGTGTAGTGAGGAACTAGTTGCTGCAACTGATGTGATGCCTTTTAAATCAACAGATAACTGGAAGGGAATTCTTGTTATAGTCGTATGCACCGTTATCATCATTCTTGCTCTAGTCGTCCTGGTTGGTTTTGTTATCCGAAAAAACTTCTGTAAAAAGGACATATACAAAGGAACAGCCACTGAAACTGTTAACTTGAATCCTACAATCTGATGGTGGAGAACCCAATATTACTTTCTCATATCTGGCATGTCCAAAATTTGACAAAACTGGTCCTATTGAACATGTGGGAGACTAAACATTACTGTATAAGGTAGTATCGTCGTGTACCGTGTAACCAAGTACGTTTTTGGTTATCCTCACTTAAAAATTGATCCCGCAGATAAGATTCAAACCTGCGAACCCTAAATATGACCTATCCRATCATTAACCCTAAACCTAACCGGTTACGCCACGAGTGAATTCGCTTGGTTGCACTCCTTTTTTTCTAGTATTTAAACAATTTCTCATTAACATTTCACTAAATAATTAATATATAAGAACGAAGTGAACACGAATTATGGTCGGGATAATTTGCATACGRTAAATTTACATTACAATAAACTCCCCTGAGGTTTCCCGTACACGACGATAATACCGGGTAATTAGCCTAACCAAATGTACAGTGGAAAWAAAAGTGGAAACTCGCTTCTGGTGCTGGGAATAGTCTCAAAACCTTCCGTTCATCTATTAGCTTTGGCAGAGATTTGTTTTGTCCTCCTGGTTTGTTTTTGCTATTAAAAGGTTTTCCTYTAAGTTGAACACAGTAGCATCAATAGAGACTGAAGACTTAACTTAAACTACTGTTTCTGATGTTTCAGCTGTTTGTATTTTTCCAACTAGGGAATAACTTGAATTTTATTCAAGTGTATATTGTGCGGTTTCCCCCTAACTTTTGCAAGTGAGAAGTATGCCATGCAGGCTAGCCCTGTCCACTTGGGAGCATTTTTGTAGTGTTTTGCAGTGTCAATTCCCTTGAGAACAATAGAAATTACAGGAATGCTTTAATGYGGACAAGGTCCTTAGCTTGTGCACTCTTTTTGTCAACAATAAACAACAAACATTGATGAGCAAATGTTTTATTTGTCACTGTGACCAGTGCACTATAATCTATATATTACTAGTGGATTCCTTTGATGAATGAATTCTATAAGCCAAGTTGYTATAATTCTGATAACCTTTAGTTCTAGCCCTAGGAAATTGGACACCAATTTAATCATTCYAAATTAACCATTTTAAATCAAATCCCAATCAAAGAACATCAAGTGTGGCATCCATTCCACAGGTCATAAAAATTTTGAATTAACCCCCAATTCCCTTCTTCAATTCCCYTATAATACATTACAAAAATCACAGATAGTTCACCATGTACAACTTGAACCAAAAAAAGCAGTTAATGTGTGTGAACAATTGACAGAAATAAAATTATTACTCTTGAAGTCTTCCTGTATGTTCACCTGGTTATAATGMTATACAGTTGAAGGTTAAACAATTTAAATATTATACATCACAACTTTTGCTACTTGCAATCATTAGAGTGAAGTTAAAAAAAAACCCTATGAAATAGTTATTACACTAATATACCTTAAAAAGCTCATATTGCATTGTTCATTTTTGGGTTTCTGAAAACCACTCCATTACATATCTYACATACAAAGTTGCATACAATAAGTATTGTATGTGTAAGCAAAGTTAGCACTGTATAATAGCCAAAAGATTGTAAGAGAGAATCAAAAATAATMAACTAGAACAAGTCACTGTGGGTACTCAATGCTGAAAAAATATTCACTTCTGTGATAACATGGACAAACAAAATAACAGTACTTACAGCACTTCAAGGAAGATCTTGTTATTGACACCCATGGCAAGTTTCAGTTAAGCATTCTCTGGACTCTCAAAAAACCTTTTACACAATAAGTTGACCTTCTTACAACCAAGCTGATGTTAACATTACTCTTATTTGGAGATTTTTTCATAAAGATTTTTTTCTCTCTTCTTTATGACAATAATATCAACAACTGTAATATTACTCAAGACCCGCTCAACCCCGCCGACCTGCGCACGAGCCTGTAACGAAACTACTTTGTTGATGAAAAGTCATTTGTAAGATGAATTAACAAAACAATGTAGAGGAAAACCAATGTGCCATTAAGTCAAATCAACATTTTTACAAACCTATTCAGACAATTTTTTTTGTAAGGATATAAAACAAGAGGCCTTCCAATCCATACATACAATCAAATTTAGGTAAAAGATCAAATTTCCTCTTGAAAGATTTTGGTAATCTGTATTTACACTAACTAAGAAAGAGCAAAATAATGATCCAACTATATTGTCTTCACTTAGAGCTTTCTGCTGCTAATTTGTGTTCTTYATAGGAACTCTCCACTGGAGAGAAATCTTTCTCCTTTTACGAAGTTGTTCACCGACTGACAGCTAAGTCATCTGGTTTATCACTGAGTAATGGGCTAGAAGCAGTGTGCTTTTCACTGAGATCATGAGCAGGGGAGTCACGATCAAGAGATCCTGCCTCATCATCAGTCAAGTCATTGCATCCTRTATGCTCAAAGCTGTCCGTGTTTTCATCAGTGAAGTTAGACTGTTCTTTTGGAGAAACGGGTTCATCGGGAGCCTCAATGCTATTACTTCTTTGTAGTTTGTGTTCACTGGAAGCTCTTGTTGTTGTTGTTAATGCTTTCTTGAAACTCTCATTCTCAGCTTTCAAGGTGCGAATGTGAGATGACAGGTTAGCCTGGTTGATTTGCATGGTGGATATYGTTGCCTCAAGGCTCTGGATGGTTTTCCGTGCTGATGATAATTGCTCMGTYAGCTCCTGCAAGTGTTTGCTGAGTGTATTGTTTTCAATTTCAAGCTTTTTYGCACGTTGATGCTCAAACTCTTCTATTGATGCCAAGCTTAAATCTTCTTCGCGCAGCACATTGTACTCAATCAAGTATGACTCGAGCTGTTTTGTAATGTCAAGATCAAGTACRTCTTTAACAATAGAATCCAAGTTTGTGAAACCATACTTTGGTAAAGTTGTCTTGATATACTCCACTGCATTTTCAAAGCCATCTTCAGCCATTATGCTTTCTTTACACCTCCCAAGAAGGATGAGCATTACCTGGAAGGGAAGACAAAAGCATTGGAAAAATAGTTTCACAATGGAAAACAATTAAATGATGTTAATACCTTAAAAACCACTGACATGCCYTGKAGGAGTATCATATCTACAAAGAAAMACAGTRGAAATCATCATGATGATCTTATACAAGTTAATACTGAGAATACATTCTCTAAATAGATAGATAGACGACCTTCAATATCAGCCATATATATGTTGTTCTTATTCATACTTACCCATTATACGCACTACAAAGCCGACAGGAAACATGGATGCRAACAGAGTCAGGAACCAACCAGCTGAATACAGTGTGGGGGTGATATCAAGCTCCTCTAGGAACTCATACAGAGTTGGATGGAAATCATGTAGTAGACGYGATAGCATGTAAAACTGGATCTGTTTGAAGAAACAGAACTTTATTAACACTGCTGCTACAATRTTTACAATCACATGAAAAGACARTTTGACAAGCACAGGWGCTTGAAAACTAGGTACCATTATCTGATTATCATAATTATCGGTGCTTTCATTTTTGATCAAATGCATTTGTCTGTTGTATGATGTCACTAATATTATCAGTATAGCAACAGTTAGTGATTTTATCATCATAATCACATTACTCTGACATTAATAATTATTATMATCATCATYATCACTTTCAAAATCAWCCTAAAAATACCTGTAATTCCTGCATGTCAGACTTGTACAGTTTTCTAAGGTTYAAATCATACATCAAATGTCTCATTGTATCAAATGCTTGACTTTCATCCATATGCATAAGTAGAATACCAGCCACAAAACTAAGTCCCTGACAATAACCAACATCTGTGTCTTGGATGGAGTATGCCTTCAGCAGGTTAAATAATGACAATTGACCTGGACCAAACTGTGACATGAARTATGGATGYCCAGGAAAAGTACGACCTGGAATGAAAGAGTCAATTTTGGAAATATAGGATGGCTGACACACATTGAGACATGTCACATGCTATTACAGACATCAAGAAATCAGAACTATACTGCATAAATGCGACTACGACTGAACAAATGCAAGCTCAGGCCCAGTATATAATAATATAGCTTGATGCACACATGCAAAGTTACAAGTGTAAATCAGCCCTATGATCAAAGATGTCACAAACTGTTTACTCATGATTTTCAAAATCAATGTATTTAAGTTAAAAATGTATGATTTTTCCTACTTACCCAAGTCAATAAAGATAGAGTGTTGATGTAAACTTTGTCCYTCTCGCACAACTGAATAAGTGCCCTTAGTCCATTCAATGGAAAGGGAAGGGTTTCTTAAAGCATACTGATTGGCTAGGAATATCCATACTTCACCACGTCTTGGCATTGGAACACCTACAAACACACATCAASATGATTATGATGATAATGATGATGATTATTATTATTAGAATTAAAAAAGATTGTATGATTACATGTTGCAATTGAAAACACACTCTATTTCTCTAAGAAAGTGAAAATGGTATCAAATTTTCTCATCAACATTGTAAATGTTTTGATTTTTTTCTGGAATCATAATTTAATCGGATTTCAGTGTTCAGCCCAAGTCCTTTTTGATTTCTTATTGGCTAATTGAATTTCAATGAAGATCAATTTTATTGCAATGAAAAACAAACATTTTTACCTTCTCTGATAGCCTGCTGCAAAAGAAATTGATCAACATGAGCTTCCTTTCTCTCCAAAAGTTCATCCCACTTTGCGCTTGCAGATTCTGCACATGAAGGGCCTTCATATGTGAGTTTCAAGCGTTTGAGTTCAACTGACCTTTGAATATCTGCAGAAAAGAATTGGTATATTTGAAAAATATCAAGTTGGAATTGTCATATTTCATTATGTGAACAGACTGTGATGTCTGAAGAAATAGGGAAATTATTTAGACTAAATTCTGCAGCCTTACCATCTAAGGTTTTGTTTTCTTTGTCCATTCTTATCAATAAAATCTGTTCCATGATACTYTTTTTCCATAGAGCTCTTAGTTCTGAGCTTGATCTTTTTCTTCCCACCATTTCACTCCACGAACATGCCTTTTCCTTGTCTGTATGGAATGAAATAATTAATGGAGCAATGTTATGGATTCTTAGTTAATGAAATCACTAATAAAACTTAATAATGAACCATAATTGTGTCAAAATATCAACCTGTACCTTGTGAAATTGAACTTCTCTTTGATGGCGTGACAACACTATTAAAAATGTTCTACAAACAGAGAAAGGAAGAAAAGCAAATGAGAATAATGAAAAAAAAAACTAATGATAAAGCTTTAATTGTCTACATAATTACATGCTTCTCAAAGAAAATGCATCTGAACCGGGCCTATGTGACCAAATTTACACAACTGGGATAGAATCACTGGAATATGCTATATAATAGTTACATCAGGTAGGAAGCAAGTTTCACAACCAAAAGATAATTCTTGTCCATTTTTTTTCCTGGACAG